TAAATGAGGGAAAGTCAAGAGACTTGAATTCTGATCTTATACAGAATATAGAGTTGTCAGCCGAAGGCTATCGGCGACATGTATTCCATAAGAGGGTGGACAACGGCCGTAATCTACATTTGTATTGCAAGTAAGTCTTTTCGCTCATATACGCCATGCTGTTAGATGTTATTGTTAAGCAAAGTGTTATTGTGTGATTATAAGGCAGTCTCCAGTGTACCAAGTGAGAGCCAGGGTAGAACAGGGTAGAAATGAACGGAGAGTGACAGACAATGATAGGAGCACAGTTTCAAGGCACCTCCCCTCCACAACCAAGGTCGGTAGAATTAGTTTAGGATAAGAGTCATGATAGACAGATCAAAAGCAAACCTTTTTCTTCATGTAATTATTATTGTAAATAGACAAGTGTACATAGTAGAAATGTTCGCAGGGAGTTTTGAGTCACCCGCCAGTAACCATCCTGTCCTCGCCCGATCCCGAGCTTCCCTAGCTAAGACAGCCGACGGCAGCCGAGTGTAGCGCCGATGTTAGGAAATGAGTAACGACAGACTAAAGCAATTATAATTTCTCACCCCCCTCCCCCCTGAGGTGTAACAGGTGTGAAACTTGGTCTCTGACATTAAGGGAGGAACATAGACCGAGAGTGTTTGAGAACAGGGTGTTGAGGCGAATATTTGGGCCGAAGAGAGATAAAGTGACAGGAGGTTCGAGAAAACTGCATAATGAGGAGCTTCATAACTTGTACTCTTCTCCAAGTATAATTAGAATGATCAAGTCAAGGAGGATGAGGTGGGCAGGTCATGTAGCACGAATGGGGGAGACGAGGAATGCGTATAGGATATTGGTGGGAAAGCCAGAAGGAAAGAGACCACAGGGAAGACCAACGCGTATGTGGGTGACAATATTAGAATGTATCTTAGAGAGATAGGATGGTGATGGTATGGATTGGATAGATCTGGCTCAGGATAGGAACCAGTGGAGGGCTCTTGAGAACACGGTGATGAAGCTTCAGGTTCCATAAAATGCTGGGATTTTCCTGAGTAGCTGCAGAATTAGCGGCTCCTCAAGAAGGGCTCGGCTCCATGAGTAAGTAAGTAAGTAAGTTTAATATGGGATAATATATCTTAAAATGATCTGAATTTTCTGGTATTCATATGTTGTAGACATGTGGGCTGTGAACGGTTGTCGCGATTGTAGTCGAAACGTATCTCCTGTTATTGTCGAAGCCAAGTTTGACGCTTGCATCGTTATATTCCTCTGGCTTGTCCATTCTAATCCTAAACATATTCGATAGGACAGTTCTCGATTTCGAAGCGCCTGCGTTGGTTTTTTTTTTTGCATCATTGACGTCATGTTCTATTCCTTCCGATTTCCCTGCACACGAGGTTCTGCATGACTGTCCTCAGTCTGGTACCTGGGGCGCGTTTCTTTTTATTGGTTAATTGACAGGAGCTTGAGTAATGATCCCGTGAGTTTGGGTTAGGTTAGGGTGTTGCGTCAGGTTAGTTTAATGTAAGACGTAATATGAGACTATGTGCTTCGGAATTTGAGCGCATTTGTTAGTGTTTACGTATCTCGAGACAATAGAACTGTAATGGTGCTGCGTGAGATTGTAAGTGCGCAAGCGCTGGTTGCAGGTAGTACTCATTCTGCCGGTAGGTGGATCTGCCAGCAATGATTCCCGTGCCATCTGTTGTTCGGCATTTTCATGATACATACACATTCAGAAGTTATTGAAATCTTATATAATATTGGATGTTATGATTGGATATTGATTATGCGAAGCGCAGCTGCGCGCAGTACCCGTACGCAGGGGCTCTGACAGCATTTTGTTATTACTGGATCAGCTTTTCCTAACCTGTCCTGAAATATGTTTCAGAAAGTAATTTTGTTTAGAATTTGACATTGTAAAGATTAAAGAGGATTACAAAGGTTGGGATTAAATTGGACACATGAGTTTGTTTTCACTGATGTTGTTATATAACTTTTCTGACAAAGACTTCTGTACCAAGAATAAAAACACTCAAGGTGTCAAGGTGCGCTAGGTGCTAGTAGCAAGCTCAGTCTACAAGTAAACATCAAGCCAGTAATGTACACGTTCATGTCTTGTCATCAGACTGGAGGACGCATGGAAGACATATTAATATTGTCACGATTTAGGAGTGTGTCTATCGATATGGTTTGGATTGGTGAATGGATTTATTGACCATTTGTACGCTTACAGCGCAACCGCTAATCTCTACAATTCAAAGCTCACCACAGCACCCTCTCAGCCTTTTCCAGCTTGCTATGTCTTCACCAGTTTTTCCCTGGCAATGGCTACTAACAGTGGAGATTCTTTAGCTTCACAATCTCAAGACCTTTCTTCACAGACTCCCGTACAGAACACACTCGGTCCCCCAGTTGTCTCCGAGGTAACTCCCTGGCACGGCCCACTTAGAAACACACAGTTTGCAACAGTACCTCTATTATTTTGCGTCGATTCGTTGTTGCGGGAACGTGTTTATCGAGCCGTTGCTTAGAAACCGTTCTAGTATATTTTCCTATCTCGCGGTCGTCGCATAGTAACGGCTCTACAGGCTTCAATATAAAAGAGTTCTAATAAATCTTTAAAACGTGGGAAATTTTAAATAATGTGACATGAGCCCGAAAGCCGGAATAGTCAAGTCAGAATAGACGTTCATTGCTAGGCAACGACTCGGGAACACATTCCGTGGGCAACGAATACGCAAACAACAATCGAGTAACTTCCTTTGCTATGCAGTCGCGCTGCAAACACGCCTTCCCAACAATATAAATGCTGTGCTTTTGCGTGATCCATGCAAAGTGTTTATAAAGAAGAGTTCTGTTGAGAAGAGTTAGTCGAGTTTCGAGACGCCAGCCTGCCAGGACCTGATCTTAGGAGCAGAGGAATTGAACTGAGTTGAGTTGTCAGAATTGGCAGTTGCAGAATACCAAGAAAGTAATTAGGCTGTAAAAAAACTTCATATGTGACTTGAAGTGACAGTGACTCTTATAAATCCGTTACCAGGATACGACCAGTGAAGACTGAGAACTTTGTTGCGTATGTAGCGGTGAACTGTAATGTGTGTGAAATTAGCGATAGCGCTGTACTGCCTGTAGTCGCAAGTTGTATGAATAAGGTGTCAATAAATCCAAACATCCAATCCAGAACCCGTCTATAAGTCGGGAACAAACCCCTACGCGTTACAGTAACTTAGTAGTGAAGGACAATAACTAATCAGAACTGTATTCACTGATAAATAAGAGCGGATTGAGTTCGGGGAATGCTTGCTGCAGTTCTGTTGGGAAGCGTTTGTCTTCCCATCTGCTGTTTAACAAGTTCGTAAATGCGTACAGTGTAACAATTCTGGCACGTTTGCCTCCCTTTGTTTAATTATCCAGAAAACCGTAAGGCTTAGCGCAAACGTGCTCTGGGCACAAAGTTCTTGCTTCGGTTGTATGAAGAGCGTTTGAGGACAATATTTGGAGCTAAGAAGATGGAAGAAAGGGAGGCAGGAGAAAGTTGCAGGACGAAGAGCTTCATTCTTTGTTCTCGTCACCAAATATTATTAGTATGGTGAAATGGAGCTCCATGGAGTTAGTTTAGTTAATTAAACAGTACAGGAATCACGAGTTACGAGGTATTTACGGTACTTCACTCTGATTCCATTTGTTATGTTTGATGTTATGTGCGCTGGCCCGTAGGGACTCATCACTTAGTACTGTTACTCTCTGTCGGGAAGCTCCGTGCATCACTTCACTAGAGATATAGGGCGCCGACTGAGTTTATGACACAAAATAGATGATATCATTCGAAATAACGCGCAAACCTAATTTCTCTTCATCGTTTTACATATTCCCTTCCCCCCACCCCCGATGTGATCGAGACGGGAGAGAACATAAGCCCATTCCTTCTGATGGCAGAACTGTAGTTATGCCGTTGTTGCCCGTCATGATGTCGAAGGGAAGAATTAGTTGTTTTTTTTTTTGAGCTCGTCTGATTCATTAAACACTACAGATGCAGCATATAATACTTACACAACTCAATTAGAAACGGTATGGGGTTGAGGGGGGATAGGGTGTATGCCGCGTCTGCTGCGTTTTTTCTGATCAGGACAGTAATGTCTGTCTGTGTCTGTCTGTCGGTGACTTTCGATAAATGTACATCGGCAAAAGATTTTCCGTGTGCTTAATTAATTTAATCACTACGCCATAAAGATATATGGGGGTGCTGAGATATAGCTTCGCCACTGTTGACCTCTGCACTAGATGGAGATGAATGGTCAGCTTCACGCCCCGGCAGCTTTATCCCCATGGAAATATCCTTCCTACCCATTAGTTAAGGAGCTAAATTGGTTCCAGAGGCAGTCTGGACGCTGCGGACATGAGAAAACTCTATTACCCTTGCCGGGAGTGTAACCCCTGTCGTCCAGCGAGTAGCCCATCACGACACCGACTAAGCTATTCCGGTTTCCCATGTATATCGGTACAGTGGCAATATTTCTTATGTGCCTAAACACGATCCTGCCCTGAAGATGGAGGCAGAGTGTTCGTTCGAAACATTTGTATCCACTTACAAGGGTGTAGGTTGTAACAACTCGAAGATCATAGTTTATAACGTTTGCGTCTTAATTTCAGTATTTTCTGGCTTCAAACGAAGTAATCACACCCCTTGACAGACTGAGATGCGCAAAGCGAGAATACTATCTCATTTGCATATTTCATATCTGAAAGTGTTAACCATTTAAATCCTGAAAGCGAGATATCTCGTTCAGAAACGCTGTTCTCTTCAACCATATATGTGTTTATTTAACCCTCTCAGTATAATGAAACTCGTGCTACTGATATAATCCAGAATTTCACGCTTGACGGAAATGGAAATCATAAGTTAGCATTAAAATATAAAAAGAAATAAATTGTTTGGCTTTGTTTTGAAAAAAAGAAACTTTGGAACCGGTATAGAAATTTACGTTGACCGAATGTTGTGTTTGTTGCAGCTGAGTTGGACATCCTGAGACTGTTGAACGTGACTGGGGCAACCCCTGGTGTGAGTGAAGTGCTAGGCCCCTCGGCGCACCTCCCTGCCTACAAGTTCCGACCCGGCTACAATGACGTGCTCGTACCGGGCCCAGGGGCCATCGCTGCGGCCCTTACAGCTCCCGCGGGATTCACACTGCTCTTTGTATACAGGCAGCACCGCAAGTCTCTAGGTGAGGGTGCATAAAACATATGAACACACACCCGTAATTCGGTCTCTGCTTCCCAAACTGGGGTGCGCGCCCCCGTGGGGAGGCGTAAGCCGGTTTCGGGAGGAGGGTGTGACACCATGAGCGAGAGATAAAATTGTTTTGTATAAAATTAAGCTGAAATATTGACTTTGTTACCTCGTGTGATCGGCTCAGTATTAGTAATCAAAGCACTAAAAATATATCAGGCAAAATTTCAGAATTTGTCATTATCGTCAACTAAAGAACATTATGCACCATTTTTATTTAAAATTGGTTTTTGACATATTTTTTGGTACAGGGCGCTGCGGCCTCTACCCGACAATTAATTTCCTTGTTCTCAGACATGAAATTTTACTAAACACCATTTCATTATTCGCCATTTGTTACTACAGCCTTAGTCGGTTTGCATTTTTTTTTAATTTTGGACATATTTAAGGAGGCTTAAGACGTTTTCGCCGATCACAGTGGCCGCGCGGTCTAAGGCATAAACCGTCTTCGCCAGCTCAAACACTGCGATCGTGGTTTCGAATCCCACTTGAGGCATGGATGTGTGCATTCATTTTGTTTGTGCTGTCCTGTATGTAGGTAGCGGCCTTGCGACGGAGTGATCCCCCATCCAAGGAGTCCTACCGATTGTCTATAGATTAAGAAAATTAAAAAGTGGCCAAGTTCCAAGAAAGGGTTGTAGGACCGTAGATAGATGGATAGATAGATAGATAGATAGATGAATAGATAGATGGATAGATAGATGGATGGATGGATAAAAAGATAGATGGATAGATAAGATGTTTTCCATTGTTAAAGGGCGTTGCAGCCCGTGACAGGAGTTACTGTTTCTTATTTTATTTAGGAACTAGGATAGGCACATGAAGTGGCCATGGAAATAAATACTTACGTGTGTATCGCATATTTTTATCCGGAGCGCGAATACGCGGAGCCCGGGTATCACTCAGACTAACGCCGTAGCGACACATCGCGCCTTGTGAGTTCTATCCATCGAGGAATATAAGTGAATCATATTACTAAGGAAGAAATGAAAAGTATGTTTATAATATTGTGGCATGTCTGCTGAAAGCCGGAATAGTCAATCAGAGAAGACGCCCATTTCTAGGTTACAGCACAGAGAACACGCAAGCATAGCAACGACTACGCACGCAGCAGTAGAGGAATTGTGGGAAGCGGTGTTCTCTGTTGAGTCCCCGTAGAGACTATATTTGGAGAACCGAAACCAACGAAGAGCCATGCCCGTGTGGAGGCTGGTTGGAATATTTCCACAATAGCCCTGCGAGTTGTAGGAGGCAATGAAAGGGAACCAAGCGCCTAGGGGTTATAACTGGACCACCGTGTTCTTGGAGGATATAAATACGGGGACCTGGCTCTCGAGGTTCGGGGATTCTCGAATCTGAGACAGTCCGAGAATGACTGCGTTGGCGAGGACCAGCAATAGTTGTAAACGAGAGACCTATGGGCCTCCCCGACCTGTTGCAAGGGTAGCTTTACCATTTTTTACCGGTTGCGTTGCATAATTGAACGGTCGTTCTGTTGGTTGGCTGGTTGATTTGGTTGATGTCTCTGCTGAGGTTCGAAGCCAGCACCTCCCGAATACGAGTCTAGAGCGTTACCGCTCTGCCAGCACACGCAGTGTAAATCTGTTTACGGCAGGTGCAAGAGTAATATCAGAATATAAGTTTGAGTACACGAGATCAGATAGGACAGGGCTGATACTGAATCAGCAGGCGATTATACATCTTCGTATGGAAAGGGGAAAGAAAATCATGAATTAGGTACATGTTCTTTGTACATAAGAGAATCGTATCAGCAGCTAAGAGGGTAGAGTTTGTTAGTGATACGATGTGATACGATGCTAAGAGTTCGTCGGTTGTTGTCACCTTCACATCAACATATTTCTGTTCTTGTTGTGTTGCTATTCTCCACTGAACAAAATGGATACATTAATGTTACACGTTTTTCAAGCTCTATGCGCCTTAGAGATGGTAACACGTTATAGATGGGTGTTGTGCGTGTAGTCTGTTCTGAAGGCGAACGTGCAATATAACAACTGTCTTCTTGGATGTATGTGTAGTTTGTCTAACATGAAGTATCTCCTATTGTATGGAAACCGCACCCTCAAGTGCTCTACCCCAAACGAGGCTAAGAAGAAGGAGACATAACGGTATACTCGTGCTCTGTGCTGAATAAAGTACGTTACCAAGTAACGTCCTGTACAGGGCCGCGCCATAGCTCAAGCGGTTAGTCGCTGGTTTCCCACCGTGGCGTCCCGGGTTCGATCCCGGGGTCTGGTCAAGTGGGATTTGTGGTGGACAAAGTGGTGCTGGGGCAGGTTTTCTCCGAGTACTTCGGTTTCCCCTGCCAATCTTCATTCCACCAATTGCTCCACAAACACCCTCACCTATCATCTGGGGCTGGTACAATAGGCCAGAAGTGGCCGCAGTACAAGGGACTTTGTCCCACCCCACCAGCAATAAAAAGAAGTCCTGTATAAAGATGTTCTCTGAGTTTTATAGTGTTTTGCGAATATGAAATTTATTTCAGCCAACTTCACGTCGATGAACCAGTACATCGAAACGTATAATCAAGTGTTGCATCGTGGTCATCTTGACTGTGACACCGCATATTCTTGTGTGTAGTTACTGACGTTTCGGAGGAGCTTGCTGCTTCTTGTCAGGTTAGGTAGAGGCAGCAGATTCTTCTGAATCAGTCGTACGCTCTCATAAGACAACGCGGTCTCACAGAAGATCACAATATAAATTCTCTCCACCAAGAACAATTCGATATTAATTTACTTTTCAATGTGACGGACCGTTGTGTATTGCATTTTAAAGATTACTATCTGTTAGGATGGCAAGCCACGAATCTGGTAGAAATAACGGAACAATATACTGTCTCCATCTTCAGGGTAGAAGAATAACTTGTATCATTTGTTTCCACGCTCGGCGAACACTTCTCTAAAGACGAAAGAACTTCTCAACGGAACGATAAATATCTACCACAAAAAAGTGAAGTCCCCAGTTCTCACATATTGTATTGTACATTACAGGAACCCTACTGTCAATACACTCACCCGGCCGGGTCACGCCTTGGTTCCAGGCGACTTCAAACCTCCGGACGGGTCAGTTAGTGCTGCACTACAGGATCACGTCAGACTCAAAGCTGCATCAAAATTCTTGGGCCCTACAGCAGCAGCAGCCTGTTCCGGCACAGAGGACGGCGCGAGGCAGTTGCATTCCCGCGTCAGAGACGAAGAGAGGTAAGTACTCTCAAATGCAACACCCTGTATACGTGTAAGGACTATATTTAGAGGCAGTCCTCATAATTGAAATCCATATTGTAGTTATACTGTATATGTTTTATTGAACTACATTTTCGATATGTATTGAGTCGATCACAGTGGCCGCGCTGTCTAAGGCATGAACCGCCTTCGTCCGCTCGAAAACTGGGATCGTGGGTTCGAATCCCACTCGAGACATGTATATCTATATGCGTTTATTCTGTGTTTATGTTGTTCTGTGTGTAGGCAGAGGTCTTTGCGACGGGCTGAGTCACCGTCCGAGGAGTCGTGCCGACTGTGTATGGATTGAGAAACTGAAAAGCTGCCAAGATCCACAATGGCAATAGAACCGTGGATAGTATTATACAGGGTGTCGAGTGGTAGGGAGAGTAGCGAATAATGGAATGGCAAGTGTGCCGAAGGAAGCCGTAGTGGCCTAATTGAGGCAGAATTCTGGCATTTGCCTCAGGAGACTGAGGAAAATCACAAACCCGTCGGTCAGGATATAAATTTTGCTGTATTCTTGGATATGACTCCGTGTAGTGTGGTAGAAGTGTATCGATGTCTCGGAGGAACATATTGTCCCCGCTTTTTTCCCCTTCTCCAGTTCTTCCTCCCTGAAGATGGAAGCAGCATATATTCTTCGAAATGTGAGCCAACTTCTACCAGACCACACGGCGTCACATACCAGAAAACAGTACTCTTCATAGTGACGGCCACTAGAATCCCAAAACTCGCTAAGGATAGTCGATTTTCTGCCGGACGCTTCCAGAATAGGCTTACCGCTTGAGCCACCTTAGTGGTAACGGATTGGAATCTGTGTTGAAGTTTTTAGTGATTTTTGGAGTCCCTTCAGTCAAATGTTAGCATAATCCTTGAAACCAAGATTATTTCACATCCTCCCCTTTTCGTGTCTCATCAAGCAATAAAACAATATGCCACGACAGTTCAAAAGAGTTAAACACAGGGGTCGAGAAGAATTGAAAGATTTTCCAGAGCCGGTCTAAATGATTTATCTGTGCAGTTCCCTTTGTCGGAGCTGTAGTGTGGTGATGCCCTTACGATAATCAGATAAAGGGGTGTGAGGCGGGCGGGGTATGTGTAGCTTGCATGGGTGAGAAGAGAAATGCATACGAAGGTTTAGTAGAAGAATATGAAATAGAGAGACACCAGTTAGAAGACAAAATCGACTAAAACTATTGTAAGTGATCTTATGGAAACTCAGGTTTGTTTCCGCCGGTTTTCCAATGCAGCGGTCCGGGTTCGGTCCGGGTTCGGTCCTTGTTCAGGCTCCATGGGGAATTTTGGTGGACAAAGTGACACTGGGGCACATTTATTTTTGAGTGATTCTGTTTCTTCTGCCTATTCTCATTCCGTTGATTGCTACACTCATGTCTCGTATGGGGCTGGTACAGTTATCCCAACAGTGGTCATCAAACTAATGGATTATCTCATCCAACCCCATAGATTTAAAAAGAAGAGTAAAGGACTAGAATGGGGAAGTGTGGCATGCGTTAATGAGGTTCATAATAGGGACTACTGATTTTTTTCCTTGGCATTACAGCCCCAGTGGGCCTAGGCCTACCTCCATGAACTTCTCCGTTCACTTCGGTTTTTCTAGATCTTACACATTCGGTAGGACTTCTTGGGCGGGTGATCAGCTCGTCGCAAGGCCTGTACCTGTACACAAACACAGAAAAACGCACACACAAACTAAACATCCATGCCGTGAGTGGGATTCGAACCCACGATCCCGGTTTCCAAGCGACCAAAGACAATGCATGCCTTAGACCGCTCGGCTACCGTGACCGGCAGGGACTAGTGATATACTCTTGTGAATCTCTACGGCGTATTCTGTAACGAAACACGTTACAATACTAATGAACCTTCAGGTTCCATACGATATGGGGAACGTCAAGTAATTTTTATAACAGTATTTTATATTTTCATGGTAAGAAACGTGTCACAAAACACAAATCACTGCTATAAATAATGTCTACATACAAATCATTGCATTGTTATATTGATTCTGTCTTACTCGTATGTTAACAGGAAATGGTTGGACGTATCTGGCTCTGGTATTCAATGCCAGTTCGAGCACATTGACCCTTTACCTGGATTGTCAGATGCCAAAACCACAGCCTATTGCAGGAAACACAGGAGCAGGGATCCCAGAATTCCACATACCACAGGATTCGTTGGTTTATTTCAGACAAGAACCAGGATTTAAGAAGAAATTTCTGGTAGGCTTAAGTTGTTAGTAGAGATACTTAAAATCTTCCTCTATGTACCTGTCTAGGTGAGCCTGTAATCTTGTTGAATTACAGAGCTTGTAACTGGATGCTGAAAGATTGAACTCTTTAGTACCAATTTAAGAATTCTGATTCAGTGCTTTGCTTTATCAAAATAAGGAATCTCTTAAATATCTTATTTAATGATAATCTTAAGGTCGTTATGTAAGCTTCATACATAAGGGAATATATGGAAAGGTTGAAGCCAGGTGATTTAATGCAAGGATCAGTAATGAGTTCTATAGAAGCAGAGGACACCTTGACTAGCTGAAAAACTATTGACGTCTCAAGGACGATTCTGCTTCGTACAGTGATTTACAGTTGATCTAAAGAAGTACGTTATTAGAAACCTACAGAGCTAGGAAACGCTGGAAAGAGAGACCTATTCAAGAATTAAAGACACCCTAACCCATGAAGATTAAAAAACTAGATTGTTTTACTATCGCGATTTTTTTGAAAGCCCAAAAATTGTATTTATTGAAAGATTTATGATCTAGATAAGTTCTGTAGCTACCCTTCTTTCGGTTTGGGAAATGCGACATTACGATGAAGAAAAGCTTTGTTCGTTGATCATAGATAAGTGACTTGTGAGAATATTGACTGGTTTCAGTCGCCTAAGGATGGAGTCCTGTGACGAGCTTTCGTGATGACGGTGATGAACTGTCGGGTTCATAACGATAGGGTAGGGTATGCAGAGCGAAACAACTCTCGGCTGCGAAGGGGAGAACTTGTAGTTATTATTAAAGCTCTCAGGGGAAATTAACTTGCTCGTTTATGATACAGCACTACAGCCAATATTTATTAACATGTAACGTGTAAGCCCGTCGCTTTTATCATCCTGACCCAACCCCATATTCACTAACAAAACTGCTACACTTTCTTTCTGTTGTCGGTAATTGCAATACAAACACGTTAACTCAAAGTTATCAGTTCTATAGCAGGAAGCCTGTAATTTGAGTATATGTTTTTCCAAATGCATCTTTTTATGTTTCTTTAACTAGCTACAGTATTAATGAGAGGTCAAAGAGTCTCTTTATAGCATTATTCTCGTTCTATACAGGTCGATGGCCCAAGAGTTTCCTTTCTTTTTCCCTCAGCTCTCTCTTTTTTAATTTATCGCCAAATATTTTGACCCTTATTGGTTATTTTCAGTATCTAGCTAAACTATCTTATTCCGGGTCGTCTCATAGGTTTCTTCCCTTAAGTTTTAGTTCTTATACCCTTCTGAGTATTCTGAATGTACCAACATTTTGAATTGTAACTCCTCTAAAAGTGTAATTTCTAGTTCTATCCCTTCATGTTTTTGTCTCAATACTTATAATAAATTTCATATTCCTTTATGGAAGTTTGTTTTTGTTTCCTGTTGTAAGGATCCAAGTTTTGCCGTTAAATACTAGTATGGATTTAAAATATCCGTCTATTGGTCTATGCATCTTTTTGGATTCCCACGTTTCATAATATTTCTTACATGTATAATTTGAAAATTTTATAGAACTTAAACCCCTTTCATATCCCTTTGCTAATTTCTACACTGTTTTTCTTCTGAATTTATTTGACTTTGCAGATCATTGCATTTGTTTACCGATCTAACTATTGTGTAGTTATTTTTTTTTATTGCTAGTGGGGTGGAACTAAGTCCCTTGTACTGCGGCGGCCATTTCTGACCTATTGTACCAGCCCCAGATGATAGGTGAGGGTGCTTGTGGAGCAATTGGTGGAATGGAGATTGGCAGGGGAAACCGAAGTACTCGGAGAAAACCTGCCCCAGTGACAATTTGTCCACCACAAATCCCACTTGACCAGACCCGGGATCGAACCCGAGCCGCCGCGGTGGGAAGCCAGCGACTAACCGCTTGAGCTATGGCGCGGCCTTATTTCCTTATAGACACAATATGAAAATAAACGTTTCAAATAAAAAGTTTACGTCAAGTGAGGTTTGTACTGATTTTTTAGTTTTTCTATACCTTGAGTTCTTTGTGAAGCAGAGATCTATTTCACCGACGACTTTCTTTCAGTTATTCATTTGGATGAGTCCACAGATGAATAATTATAAATCACAGAATATTTTATCGGCGAAATTGAAGCTTGGTGTATATCTTGCGAATCGTATGGATAATTAGTTCAGATTGTATGCTGAAGTTGGTTCCTTTTTGTCTGGAGAGACAAGTCGAAACGCTGCTCCATATTCACGAATGTTGCAGCCAGCAGAGCAGGAGCGATTGCACAGTTTTGTCGGTGATATTTACGCACCACACCCTTCAGTAGATCCCACGGGAATAGGTCCGGGTGAGTCTCATCCTGAGACCGGGGCGGGTAAGTCCTTTCGAGAATCCTGTCATAAAATAAACCCCTGCTATTTTCCAAAGACCCAGTTAGACATATGTCACCTCGCCACATCTTGTTGAAAATGAGTGTCAAATTCCAGTCATCCGCCTTATTCGCAGGTTCTTGGAATATGTCGAGGTAGACATCATATGGATATTGGTGGGAAAGCCAGAAGGAAAGAGACCGCTGGGAAGACCAAGGCGTAGGTGGATGGATAATATTAAAATGGATCTTAGAGACATAGGATGGGCTGGAATGGATTGGACTGATCTGGCTCAGGATAGGGACCAGTGGAGGGCTCTTGTGAACACGGTAATGAACCTTCGGGTTCCATAAAATTCTGGGAACTTCATGAGTAGCCGCACAGTTGGCGGCTTCTCAAGAAGGGCTCAGCTCCATGGGTTAGTGAGACGTCAATGTTGACAGTTGTGGGAAGGAAATGAGGAAAATCATGTGGGCACCTAACAGAGCGCACCACATCCCCACTTTCTGTGGATTGAGGGACCTCCATGAAATGTATTAGGGTTTGAGAAGTCTACGTTAGCGTTTCGAGTGAGTTATGTATCATGACAGTGACAGACGAAACCAAGCAGCATATATCCAAGTTTTGGGAAGCAAATATTTGAAGCCAGCTGCCAGTAGGCCCCTTTTTTCTGCGTGTCACAAGGTTGGAGTTTCTGTACAGCGGTAACCTTACCGCTCTTTGATATGCCAGCACTCTGCAACAGCCAACGTAATGACTGCAGATGAAGACAGGAGGCGCTAAAGAACGCCCAGCACGGTGTTACCGGTAACTGCAGGCCGACCTTCTCCGTCCTGTCTTCAGAATTCCTTTAGTCTCCAGGAAACGCTGTTCGATGATGCTATAATTCAGAAAAGGCTCCTAAAAGCCGCCTGACACTGTTTGAACTATCCCGCAACCCAGTACGAGCCAAGGAACAAAACACGTTGCCCAGTCGTGTACTTTATTCTATTGTACATTGAAGTCATAAACTGAAGGAGGTGGCTCGAACCGGCAGGCAGGCACCTGGCAGTGTAGCATATCGCACAGTGTTGCCAAGTTTCATTCTCGTCAGTAAATTATAGTGCGTCTTATAATTATTAATTAGCACCCTCCTCCAAATGCCAAATTTAATCGAAATCCATTCACGAAAAAAAGTTTTGTTATGTGTACGAGGACAAATTACACAGTTTACCTCTCCGCCGATCCTCAGATATTTTCACTTCTCACGAACAAGTAAGCACATCGGGATACTTATGTATATTTTCTGTGGAAACCCAAGTTCCCAGTCGCTGAACAACATGGGTTATATTCACCCATTAGGTTATATGTGCTGCAGAGCTAGAAATCAGGCTCACACTGCAAATGCATATTTCGTAGCGGAGTAATTATTGTATTTGAGTTTAGTGCTGAATGTTATAATTAAATTCTATTGAACATATACAGACTCACATGTAGAGTTTCGAAAATCAGGTAACATGTTTGCTTTGTGTTAGAAAATGAAAACGCTCTCAACGAAGAGTAAACCTTTATTCCGGAGCGCTGAGGCAGTACTGACACGTAATGGAGGCGTGCTGTACACATAGGCACAAGAGTTCTTCATACGTGTAGGGGGCGAGAGAATCAACGTGTGTAATGTAATTGGGACATGTAAGATTTGAGGTTCTGACAGGAGAAAAGTACATCTTCTGGGATGTGACGTCGTGCCCTCTCATTTACTGATATTTGGTCTGAGTGTGTCGTGTTCATCTTCATGGTAACAGTTTATCCTGCACCGGTTCCGGTGGGCACGCGGTAGCGTAGTTGGTTGAGGCACTATGCTACAAGCCGGAAGATCGCAGGATCGGATCCCGATGAGGTGATTTTTTTGAATTTGACCTAATCCTTCCAGCCGCACTATGGCCCTGGGGTCGACTCAGCCTCTAACAGGGATCCTCTTGGAATGTTCTTGGGGGTAAAGGACGGCCGGCGCGTAAGGCTGACAACCTTACCGCCATCTGTGAGCCTATTGCCTAGAAAATGTGAGACCCTCAACATCTCACAACCCTATGGACCTGCACGGCCTGTTACAGGGATAGCTTTACTTTACTTTTACACCGGTTCCTATTCTTTTCTCTCAGCTCTGCCAACAGCTTCATGTATCCCTCTCCGATCCCCCCTCCCCGTCCGCAACTCTGCTGTCGTCACCTATATGTATTTCACCTCTCCAGCCATTCTGTCTGCCCTTGAAATAAGCCCTTTTAAGGATCACTGTCCCTTACTCTGTCTCTCCAAACTCTCTGCCACCCACTGGTTCAGTCACTGTGCCCTTGAAAACGCCCTTTTAAGGATCTTATTTTTTTCACCCTTCTTCTTACTCCTACGGATTCGTTCAGGGTTCGCCTTCAGCCCTCCTCTCTATATCAGCACCATTTTCTCCACACTCGTCTTTTTCTTTTTAATTCGCTTAGTGGTGGCTGGAGTCCAACTGGGTCCACTCGGCACGGCGGCCATTGATTGGCCTATTGTACCTGCCCCGGGTGATTATGATGATGGAGAATTTGGTGGAATGAAGATTGGCAGGGAAACCGAAGTACTCGGAGAAACCCGCCCCAGTGCCACTTTGTCCACCACAAATCCCACTTGACGGAACCCGGGCCGCCGCGGTGGGAAGCCATCAACTAACCGCTTGAGCTATGGCGCGGCCCACACTCGTCTTACTCTTATAACCTGAAGATGGAGTCAACACGTTCCTTCGAAATAACAATCAGTATCAACGAGGCTACTGTGCATATGTTTTATAATATAGAAGGAAGGGTTATAAGAGTAGTATTATCAGTGCATGCATATGATGTACAAAACGTTGTTGTCTGCGAGCTTCATAGGGCCCAAAGTGACTACCAAAGTCTTATAATTGTAAACAGAATTTAATGTGAAATGAACTCTCCTTTCGGAATTCTTATACTCCATTTTGTTTTCGTCCTAACGGCAACAATGCAGTTAGTGTAACAAATTAGGAGACTTTCCGTTGAATTTTTAACGGACATTACACTGGTTTTGAAGTATATACCATCTAATGTGGGTCCTTCCACAGGGATCAATGCAGGTGGCACAAATAATGTCGCGCCCCATCTCCAGAAATGATGTCGGCTGGTCCTGCAACCCACTTCCTTAGCAGAAGAAACGCTGGTTCCTGGAGGCTAGGCATCTCTGGTTACGTGACATCGCAGCTGTAGTCAACGTTATGAAGATGGATGGTGCCTGATTTTAAGCTGTGAGCTCTCTTTCTTTTGCTTTCGGATATATATGGAAGTACAGAAACCCTCATTTCTAGTTAGTAGTTCTATCTAGGTAATTTGCCAATTTTAAATTATTGTATTCATTTGAAAAAATTAAACAGAGTTAAAAAAGAGTCAAGCTATAAATAGAAGGTAGCAAAGCATTGCATTGCACAGACAAACCTGCAGTTTTATTTCAGTCTTTAAAGCTACAATTTCTGTTCAATCTTTGTAATCTTCTTTATTAACAGGAACTTAGTTTAAATAAAGAAATAAATACAGTGCTGTAATTTATTTGTCTATTTATGCCACGAATGTTTCATATGTATATTTCCTCTCAACCAAAATCATTAACCAGCCATACAGTATTTCTGTCGGTGGAAACAGCATTGGAAGGACTCATAAACACACCTGACTTATTTGCCCACAAATTGAAGGTGTATGCAGGGCTCTCAATAGGTTCAAGTTTGTACTTCCGCCTCTGATACAAAGTCTCTGCCCTTATAGAAAAAAGTAATGTAACGTCCGCTCCGCGACAGTTTGTGGAGTGTTGGCGGAACACCAATGGAGGAACCACTTCAGGGATTGCATTTGTGGTGACCTCATTCTCTTTTAACAGATGACAGAATTGCATTTACGGTGACTTCATTCTCTTATAACAGATGACAGAATTGCATTTTTTTTTCCACTGGCGCTACAGCCCTCATTTGGGCCTAGGCCTACTTCCATGAAACTCTCCGTTTCACTTCGGCTTTACTAGATCCTAGACATACGGTAGGACTTCTTGGGCGGGTCATCAGCTCATCGCAAGGCCTCTACCTGTACACAAACACAGAAAAACTCACACAAACATCCATGCCCTGAGTGGGATTCGAACCCACGATTCCGGCTTCCGAGCGAGCGAAGACAGTGCATGCCAGGATTGCATTTACGGTGACCTTATTCTCTTGTAACAGATGGCAGGATTGCATTTGCCGTGACCCCATTCTCTTGTAACAGATGACACTCTAGTGGAGTGTCCTTTTTTCTTTAATTCTTTCTTTATACTTGTACAATACAAATATATAATCCTTAAGCTTAATGTCAGTAGCCAAAGCTTTGTATGCGTCTGTGCGCTTCACAGTTCCAGCGGCGAGGTGTTTGTTGACTGTTGTCTGTTGTGCTAATGCGCACATAGGAGGCTGCGCGCGAAGCTGCAAGGGAGAGAGAGCACTGTCGTTCCCGCAGTGCCGACCCTGCCGTGCTGGTGGAAGGTAGTTTTTTTTACTCCGCGCGTGTTGTGCTTAAAAACCGTGTACAATATTCTTGAATGCGAGTTAACTGTAGAATTAGATTATTATCCTGCTTCCAGCTATTCTATTTGATTCATTTTTTTTCGGTTCTTTTATTTAACAGAAAACTTTATCCATGGCCTTGCATCCCCGAGAAATAAGTTCTGTGACTGTAAGTGAACTTCAACAGCTTCAGTTTTCACAACTGTCTCTCCATGAGAAAGTTGCAGTTAAGAAAAGAGGTCGTTTAACACCTGATATTCTAATATCTCAGCCAGGCATAAGCAAGAACAAGAAATATATTCGTAGCTTTAATTCTGAATGGTACAAACGGAAAAGTTGGCTTTGCAGCTGTGAAGTAAAAACTGCACTGCTTTGCTTCCCGTGTTTGCTGTTTGGGGGTGATGTAACGTGGACAAAAGATGGTTTTAGAAATATAAACAAAATGAAAGAAAAAACTGAAAAGCATGAGAAGTCAAAGAAGCACGTTGATAATGTAGCTTCACTGTCACTTTTAGGAACCGTAAGTATTAAGGAGAAACTTAGTGAGGCATACAGACTTTCAATCAATGAGCATAATATATATAGGTTAAAAAGAACCGTGAAATTTTGTCCAAAATAATAGACTGCATGTTCTTTTGTGGAAACTTTGAAACTCCCTTACGTGGACATGATGAAAAAGACGATTCAATAAATCCAGGTGTTTTTAGAGGATTAGTAAATTTTGCATCTAAATTAGATTCAGGTTTGAAGCATCACTTAGAAACCTGCGCAGTCTTCAAAGGTGTTTCTAAGACCATTCAGAATGAGATACTTGACTGCCTGCTACAAACATACCATGAGGTGATAAGGACAGAAATTAGGAAGGCTACCTTTGTAGCTGTCATGGCTGATGACACAACAGATGTTTCGGAACACACTCAAATGGTCCTTGTTCTACGGTACGTATTGAATGGAGAAATATTTGAGCGTTTTGGGGGATTCTTTATTCCAGAAAATCAAACTGCAGATGGCATATCAAAACGTATTTTTGAACAATTGGACATAATCCTTCAAGGAAATGGACAAAAACTGATAGCTCAGACATTTGATGGTGGAAATGTCATGAAAGGCAAAAAAGCAGGAGATCAAGCAAAAATAAAAGCAGTTTATAGTAATGCACATTTCATTCTCTGTTATGCACATCAACTTAATTTAATAATGAGAAATGCAGCAAGTATCACACGAAACGCAAGAATATTTTTCTCTAACATTCTGGCTATTCCAACATTCTTCTCAAGATCACTGCAACGTGTGTCCATTCTCAAGAAGCACATGGAAGTCAGCATTCCACGTCCATCTTCTACAAGGTGGAACTTCAACATACGGACCATAAACAGAGTTCATGAAAATTTGCAACCTTTAATAAACTGCCTTACTGAAATTCAGTCAACATCAAATGCAGATCAAACCATTGCAGAAGCAACAGGAATTTTAAAATACCTGAATGATGATAATTTCAAGTTTTGGTTAGAGCTTTTTCATCAGATTATGCCTCATGTTGAAATAATTTACAACCAAATGCAATCTCAAGAAATTTGTGTGTTTAAAGTTAATGAATATATAACAAATTTCAAAACTGCTATTTTGGAATTAAGAAACTCAAAGTACTGTGAGAATCCTTCAAAGACACTCATGGCAGAAGCTAAGGAAGTGTGTGACTGTATATGTGTTGATATAATGGACAGATATTCTTCCACTTAACACTTAGTAGCTGCTAAATTGTTCAACAAGAAATGCTTCACTAGTTTTAAGAATGAATATCCCACAGAAGAGATAGTACTGACCACTGAAACATATCCCATGATTGACAAAGAAAAGCTTGAAACTGAACTAAAAGTATTCTATTGTAGGTCTGATATTCATGAATATTGCACATTAATTGAGCTGCTGAAATTTATATTGGAAAATATTGTAGATGATGTTTTTAGTGAAATTACGAAAGTGATAAATATCCTCTTGACAGTTCCCATGACTACATCAGAGGCAGAGCTTTTCTAAGAAGCACTGTGAATTCGGAAAGACTAAATGCGCTTGCAGCGCTTTCAATGGAGACAAATTTCCTCAGTTGTCATCCAGAGATCAAGGAGAAAATTATTGATCTTTTCGCGCAAATTAAAACAAGAAGAATGGATTTTATTTTTAAATGAATAGATTAAGCTTGAACTGTAACACTTTAGGTTAAAGTAAGTAAAAATTGTTTGATTTTGTTCTTTTAGGATTTTATCAAGTTTCTGAATAATTTCTCTTTTTATACGTGTTTGTTTCCTTTTATACAATTTTAAAACAAAGGCTACAAATTTTCTGGAGCAGCACCCCCACTAATTTTAGCTACGAGCCGCCAGTGCACTCCACGTTATGGCAACAAATACAAGAACTTGTCTCTTAATTTCAATGAGATCTAGATTAGTAATACTTACAGCTTCATAGTACGCTACTGAAGTCTATAACGCCTTTATTTTTTAATTACCAGTCAGTCAGACAGGATAGCTGTGTCATTGTCTTCTCGTGGGATGTCAAGATCAAGCGATGTATGACAATCCAGTGTCAACTCTACCAAGATCCAGAGACGCTTCCACGACACTGATTAATTATGGACTGAGGAAATTACGTTGCCTGCTTGCAAATATGCCAATTGTACGTCAAGTAATAAAAGTATGGCGAACCAGACGTACATTAAGGACCCTCAATGATCATGATCAGTGTTATGGAAGCAGAATTTGTCAGTATACCTTCGTCTGAAAGGATTTTTCCACATATAAACTTTTCCACAGACCATAATGGGAGCCCTTATATTCGGCAGGTACTTAGTTCGAATCTAAACTGGACCACTGGCTCTTCTGACGTCGAGGTAAAGTTGTCCCTGTGCTTAATTCAGCACTACGCCATGAAGGCATATGGGTGGGAGGGGTTGTATAGATCCACACTTTCTTCACCACGGCACTAGCTGGAGGTGAGTGGTCGGCTTCACGCCCAGGTTACTTCACCTCCGGGGAGAAAGCCCCCAGTACCCACTAGATACGAAGTTATGTGGGCTGCAGAGCTTGTCTGGATGACGTGCAGAAGAAACAATTTTTTACCGTACTGGGACTCGAACCCCGACCCCTCGATCGTCCAACCGGTAGCCAATCGCTATTCCGACTATGCTATCCCTGACAGAGTGTTGTCCTTTTTCCTCAGTCTTTCCAGCCAGTGGTATAAGCCCTTCGAATAGACCACGATTGGCCCTGAATACGTGTTTACTCACCACTCGCAGTCATATTTCTACTTTATTCGGCCTTACTGTCACATCTCCCACGGAAAAAACGATATGAAATAGCTTAACAATAAAGAAACGAAATACATTTTCTGGAAGTACATCAGACTCTCGGCGATGTGGTCGTCTCTATTTACACGTTTCCTTGTAAGGCGGCTAAAAGCCCTGGGAGATGCGCAGAAGGAATTTTTGTTCCTCTCCGGTTGCAAGACGTTGCTGTGCGCAACTCCTAGGAACGTGTAAATACTCGTGGGAAGTGTCACTCATCCTCCCAGTGTACAAACTGAGTTCCCTAGATCTCCGTACCGCCTGTCAATTCACATACTGCAAACATCAATCAGGCCTCTTGAGAGAGAGCTTGTGCTGCTGAGCTCGGGTTCACATCGATTAAACGTAGCTGTTGATAAGATGGAAGCTCCACGCAAGACGCCAAAGAAACCAGTACCACAGCTGAGGTTCTGATTGTACCCTTACGTGTACATACATTTCAACAGTAAGCTTGTTAAGATTTATGACGCCAGCTCCCCAAGATTTAAATTACAGTTTCTGCACGGTTTATTAGCTTATGTAAACTACCAGTACTGGTAAGCTATTACATATAAACGCACCTGCCCAAGTCGTCGTTCTGGTGTAGGCCCTCTCTAAATTTAAATCTATACGAGGTTTGAGGTTTCCAGAGCAGTGAATGTTAAGACTACTGTCTTCTGGTATGTGACACCGCGTAGTCTGGTAGATATTTACCGGGCTTTTACCCTCAAGATTGAGGTTGCCCGTTCCTCCGAAACTTCGGTAACTATGTGTCAGACTACACGGCGTTACGTACTAGAAGGCAGTAATTTTCTAATCTGAATCTTTTAAACTTCGTAACCATGATGCAACAGAAGCATCAAGCGTTTTGTCTACTTTATATTTTGTATGTTTTTCAAGCAATCTGAAGGTTCATGACTGCCTTCACAACAGTCTGTCACGGGATTCGATCCTGGGCCAGTTCAATACATTTCATATTAACCCTGTAATATCAATTTTAATATTATAAGTATATTGATATTTTTCTCGGGTCTCAAAACTGGTTTCTTCCGTTGAGACTTTCACACCATTTGATATTTTTAGATATTTGTGGTTTACTTAACGACACTGATCCAGTCTCGGAAACTTTGTGGTTTTTTTGTCACATATACCAGACGATGGATTTACTTACTTACTTACTCAAGGAGCTGAGCCCTTCTGGAGGAGCCACCAATTCTTCAGCTACTCAAGAATTTCCCAGCATATTATGGAACCCGAAGGCTCATTACCGTGTTCACAAGAGCCCACCACTGGTCCCTATCCTGAGCCAGATCTATCCAATCCATACCATCCCATCCTATCTCTCTAAGATCCATTCTAATATTGTCCACCCACTTACGCCTTGGTCTTCCCTGTGTTCTCTTTACTTGTGGCTTTCCCACCAATATCGTATACGCATTCCTCGTCTCCCCCATTCGTGCTACATGACCTGCCCACCTCATCCTCCTTGACTTGATCATTCTAATTATACTTGGAGAAGCGTACAAGTTATGAAGCTCCTCATTACGCAGTTTTCTCCAACCTCCTGTCACTTCATCTCTCTTCGGTCCAAATATTCTCCTCAACAGCCTGTTCCCAAACACCCTCAGTCTATGTTCCTCCCTTAATGTCAGAGACCAAGTTTCACACCCATACAGAACCACAGGCAAAATTATAGTTTTGTATATTCTAATTTTTATGTATTTGGGCAACAGACAAGAAGACAAAAGGTTCTGGACTGAGTGGTAGCAAATAAACCTTATAGTTCTGTACGACACTGACCATATTTCAGAATATGTAGCATCGAATGATTGTGTGATTGAATGAATGATGAATATGCAATAATGTTGAACGAAGCGGCGCTGGCTTAATTTGGGGTACTATCCTAACATATGCTTGAATGGCTGAGGAACGTCACGGAAAACCTCTTTAGTATGACTGTTGTCTCGGCAAAAATTCGAATCGGTCACTTCCCGGTTACAAGACACAAATGTGACCGCTTGAACCAACTCGCTCGATCAAACCAACTATGCATTGAGCGTACATTTTCTCCCTGGCATACTACATGTTCCTCCCGTCTGATTGTATTTTATGTAATAACACTATCAGTATTTGGCTAAGAGTCGGATTATATTGGAAAATAAAGTGGCTGACTATGAGCTGGATGACCGGGTTCGATGGCCGGAGGCAGCATGTAACGTGTCTTCGCCACCACGCTCAGTCTTCGTCTGTAGTTTTATGTCCAGCGTAGGTCTATACCGTGGGCTCTTTCCAAAGTGACAAAGTGGCTGGAAGGTGAAGCTGACTATGCACATATATACAGTGCTGAGGATAACAGTTCGCACCAACTGCTCACATTCTCTGTGTGGTGATTAGGCACACACACAACTGTACTTATTCAAATTTTAGTCAGAAAACCCGAGGGAAGGGAACACATGGCAGACCAAGGCTTAGATGGAATGATAATATGTCTGAAAGAAATTAGTTGCGGGGGTATGAATAAAGTGATGATTTTTTCTACTGGCTAAGACCAATACTAGCTTCTCAAGGAGTCTCCTTCATGAAGTTAATATGAAGCGAATATTTATAAGCTTCTCATTATGTGTAACTTGGCAAAGTTAGGCCGATCTGAAATATTGGCAACAGAATCAGATGTTTTGAAGACCTCAACGAATGAAACTGGTACAGCACTTTTCGTTTGACAGCTGAAAGACGTAAGTACATACTGTAGTTTCGAATTTAAGCCATGCGATTTACATTTAAAATTGATTTGCCAAGATTCTAAACCTTAGAGGAATTTTAAGACAGTTTTACCTCTGGCCTTCACAGAATTTGGAAGCACTATAAAATACTGGAAATATGTGGCCCTGCAGTACACTCACTATTTTGAGACTTCATGAATCGCCAACGAGAAGTCATATTGAACTGGACTCGGAGGTGATTGTACACAGGAAATAAACATTGCTTCACGCTTGCTAGTTCTAAGTTCCGTCATTGTTTTAATTTCTTTATCTGGATTACTGTACTACCCTGTTGCATTTATTTACTTATAGCAGTTGGCAACAGTTTTTAATATACCGTATAGTCATCAGATCGAAATATAAACACGCTAGCATAATACTGAATGGATACTGAGCCACGGTTCTCGCTCCGAGCAGCATAAGCCATTCCTTCACTTGCGTTCACTTGCCTCCAAGGCCTTTGTGTGTCTGTGCTGCAGTAGACTCCGCGTTATGCGCAGTAGAACTCGGATGTACACAGACTTACAGCAGTTGCAGTACCTGAATATAAACTGCAGTGGTTTTTGTTTATGAAATGAAGTTAGAGATTTCTGTTTATTGTGCTCGGTCTACAGCAGGAGACTATAGAAAGCATCCACCCTTCGCCCGAGTTCTTCATAGACTAACAGGTATGCTTATTTCTCTGTAATTAATTTAACGACGATGTCAGGAATTCGAATTATACAGCGCCGAATGCTTTGAAAGGATGAAGGGAGAAGCAGTCGTGGTCTAATTTAAAGTTTGTTTGGAGGGGCAGAGGAAAATCACGAAACCCTCAGTCAGGATAGTTTGTGTCCGAACGAGACTCTAAGTGGGCACCTCACGATTATGTCAGAAGATTTACCGCTTGAGTCAGTTTTCTCAGTGGCAGCCTCACTAAAATAAAATTATTTAGGTGAATGTCATATACTCCTATTCTTCGGCGATAAAATGCAGCGCATTTTCTGTTGAAAGTCACCAGACATTCCTTAAACCTGCTATATTTAAATATTTAAAGTGCTTATAATCGTAACAATTTTATTAATGTAGATCTGTATCAATAGACCCCATGTATACTTTCGTTGACCGAAGGAAGATATCAAAAGGCTTGTACATTATCCTGGAGTAATTTTATTACAACATTCTTGTTGAACGAGTTATGTTATTCCCGCTTTGGCTTATCGTTGTAGTTCCAGTGCACAGAATCGAACACATGGCAGTTATGAAACTTTTAAAAATGAGAATACTCACCTGTATTTCTTAAAATAGGTCTTGTAAAATACCAGGTTTCTGGAGCAATTCAAATTCTATCAAATTGTTGAAAAAATAAATAGGATTCTAAAAATGTTGGGCGTTCTAAGCAACTGAAATTAAATTTCGACAAATTTACTTAGCCTGTACCTTAGTGCGGCGTAGACGAAGTTACAAATTTGATGCCTTTGGTTGAAAACTTTATTTCTAAGGGATATATTTTAATGTATGATCATGCCGGTAGCCTTTCTCTGGCCGCGTAAAATCTGACTTTGCTCTGGAAACTGGTAATTATGAAGACGTGACACTTTGTACGCAGAAAGTCCGACTGATGATGAATTTCGTCTGCTTTAATTTTCTGTTAGTTTTATGGAAAGCAGATCCATACAAGGTTTAAAGTGACAATGTCTGGAACAAAATGCTTTTAACTAAATGTGTTTTTGTGGCGATCTCTAATACGTTAGTGCTAATTTCTCCAATCAATTACCATCAACACCCAATTTGTTTTATGAAAGTACTGGAATGTAACGTCATGTATTTCAGTAGAAGTTCGTCGACGTTTCGGAGAAACTATCTGCCTCCATCTAAAAGACCGGAGAGTAATCCAAACAAGAAATCAGCAAAAAGCAGGCGGGAAGCAGAGTGTTTCATTCCAGAAAGTAATAGTGTTTATAGTCACTACATTGACAAAACCAATTTTTTTATTTTGAATACAATTTTCCAGCTAGTAAACATTATCAGCGCTCTCTTAATATAATATTGTTTTGTGGTTACAGAGTTTAAGAATGAAACAATTTTTGATGTAATAATAGTGTATGGAATTCATATTTTAAACATTTAATTCTGGTATGAAAAGAGTATTAAAGAAATCCGCCATTACATGAAGCGGGATTCTGTGTAGTCCAGTCTGACAAACAAAACACTATCACGCGAGAATAACAATGATCACAGCTTACAATCCGAAACGCTTATGCTGCACAGAAATAAATTATTTAGTACATTTTGATGGTAATTAATCGGTATAAATTATATTGAATAAACTGCTTAAACATTAACATATTTTGCATATGTCTGGACTCTTAACCGAAAGAACTTTGGACCTAATTTGTAGAAGTCTTTCACACGTTCAAGAATAAATTGCCCCTAAGTCATCGCCCGTATCCAATAATATCGTGAGATACCAAGAGATAAGATTAACACGAAACGGAGATGGACATAAATGCATTGTTGTTCAATAAAATCGATTATATTCGCATAGCACAGATCAGACATTGTTGAAGACCAACGATAGAAGGAACCATATATTATAAAGGGTTTATATAAACGGTCATAATGTGTGACTGATAATGTTTGCGGCTCTTACGAATTATGATTCGTTAGGACGGAACAGTAAATTTGAAGATGGCTGTTTTGAAAAGTAGAAGGATTTAGGAATTATAGAGGGATATGAAAAATACTGAGGCAGCAACAATTGCACAAAGAAGGAGAATAATGTGATGACAGAACAGGGCTGAAGTTCTCAACTGTTGTTACCTCATTTTGTGAAGTACAGTACTCTTTATGTACGTTAAAAACGCATTTGAATTAAGAGTTCTGTTGAACATTTAGATGCTACTGTCTCACTGAGCGAATCCAGCCCAGTCGATCGAGTCCACAGCAAAGGTAGGCCGCTACATATTGCATGCGCCGTGTCGAGTCGAATGGAGCTGGGTCTCTCTGCCTTTGCTTGCGGCAACGTAGTCACCGAGCCTTGATCCGATCTGTGTCATCTGCACAGCAGTGCCTACAGAAGTAGCTTTCTATAAGCCTATAAGGAAAAAAAAAGTTACACAATGAGAGACTTGCTGAATAACAAGATTAGGAAGGTAACAAACTATATCCAGTATGATAATATAATTATATTTCATGTTGCAACTTAATCTTTATTACTGTAGTTTGCTTGGAGGAACAATTTATGTAATCAGGCACAGTCTGTGTAGAAGGGATGGAGCGGAAATCGTTACACTTAGCAGGTAGAACTTTGTAACAGGGAATTCTAACAAATTAGCGTAATGCCGACTATGAAGTTGTACAACCTTGACGTATTTTAAACGAAAATTTAATCAGAAATAGAGTGCCTGTACGCTAACAAGAGAAAGCCTAACATTACTTTCATTTACTAAATGGAAAAGTTGATGAAAGCTGCGTTAATCAGCACTACCACTCCCTCGCAACTTACTCCATTACCTGCAACTGTTTAACTGTCTATCCCATATAAGGGGTTGGAGGGAAAGGGAAGGCAACGTACGTTTCCGGAAACCATCGTACGCCTTCATCAAACCCCGTCATGGATGGTTGTCTACATATGTCCACAGTAGTGTAATTTGTGTATCATTATTACTGCTGCTTTTCAGTTATGTATATTAGTTTGTACTATTGTGTTTACTCATACTGTTTAACTTTGTATTCGAACTGCAATCGGCAGCACGCATTACGGCACGTCGAGGCTTAATTGGGACATTTCAGTTGTCACGTGGAAGAAAACTGTGAACACAAATTATATTCTGGAAAGTAATTATAAAAATTAACTATACATTCATATAGTACAAGAAAATATAACATTATGCTTAGTATGCAACACAGCTTTTTTAAAAAATTTAACAATTTAGAAAGGCTCAGTTCCGAAAACTGGATAAATGTCGCGCTATTCTAATCTCTATTAGAATCATTTCTGTGTGAAATACTTTTACATATGTTTCCCACAGACAAATTATCTACCTTCAGTACGTACACAACCGCTCACAGTGGCCTTGCGGTCTAAGGCATGGACTGTCTTCGCTCGCTCGCTAGCTCACTCGGACTCTGGGGTCATGGGTTTCGAATCCCATTTAAGGTATGGATGTTTGTGCTTGTGTTTATTCTCTTTGGGTTAGGTAGCGGCCTTGCGACGGCCGATCCCCCGTCTAAGGAGTCCTACCGACTGTCTGAGATTAAGAGAAAATAAATTTTACTTACCTCGACACCGCAAAGGTACAAAAGGAGCAAAGTAAGAAAGAAATAAAAACCTAACACAGGCTTCATGAAATGTTTTACGGTTTTAACTGTAATTCATTTTCCTTTTAAAACCGACATTTTACCCAAGTACTTCGAAACGCAGACGCTGTGTGGCATCCTGTCTGCATTTCCACTCTCATTGATGGGTGCAAAATCATCATCTCCGCTTGATGACAGAGCAACCGGCGGTCTTCTCTGTCTTTCCAATTTTCGGAGTTAGCATTTCCTCTTTTAGTTTTATTTTGGCAGCTGTGCTGTGTGTGTGTGATTACTGTCAGATATTAAACGGCGGGGTTCCTGCGTTTTCTCCCGCTCTCCGAGACTTTTTTCTGGTCTCCTTATGATTTCGCAAAAAAATTGCTGTTTCTTTTCACAAAGATTCTTCTAGTTGAAGCAGTGGGCAGAGAAAGCACATAGAGAGGCTAATGGTGCTGTTGCTGTTTGATCCAGGGTTGTCGAAGGATACGTTTCAGGTTCTGGATGCACCTTCGTGTAACGGGTGGGGTGAAGGTGTTCGAATGATAATCAAAATTCAATTGTTGTTATGCAGATCTACCACATGCGGTGCGTGGAATTTGTGCCGTGCCGTCTGGGCACAGTAACAGGTATCATATCACTGTAGCCCCAGTTGTACATTAAGCTCAGGTTGAACGTCACCTGTGTTTTAAAATATGGTTCGTAACACATAAAAGAGAATTCCGAGGAGGGATCATAAATCCAGCTCTCCTCTTCTGCGAATTTATAGTCCAACAGGTATGTTACTATGTTTTATTTATTGTTAGAATAATATTATTATTTGTGAAGATTTTTATTACTCAAATACAGCTCTTATATGCGTTAAATTTGTCAGATATAACATCACAGCACCGTTCCATGTTTGCAATTGCTGACACAAAAATAATATTTCATATGCAAAACACACGTATGTTTATGATCTATCATCATGCCAAGTTTCAGATGCAACGTTTTAGTGGTTCGCTGGTGAATGCCATAGAGCAAAGAACTGAGGGAAATATTCTCACGGATGACATGCTGTTATTTTACATTCTACAAAAATATTACCTCAACAAAAGTTTCATATTATTCAAAATTAACAGGACGAATATCACCGATGTCGCTACAGTTTTACAATTTCGGGCCCCCGCAATATTGTTATTCCTAACCGTACAAAATTACAAACTAGGAAATAGCTTCCGCGGTTCAAAATTTGAAATTCGAGGTTCAAGCTCACACATATACAGACAGAATTATTTAATGAGCCTACGTTTTTCCTTTAAAAAGGAAAGATAGTACCGCTGAAATTACGTTTTTAACATTATTGTCTGCAGCCTCTGCCTCGGACCTTTCTTCGGTATGATACATATTTAACAGAATGCAGATATTAATAAATTCTGACCTTCTGCAGTGTAATTAGTATTGCAACTGTGAGTTTGAGCCTTCAGCAATAAATCTTAGATTATTAACTGAACATCAATGCCACTGACTTGTGTTGTAAATAATTTTAGTAAAGTCGTAATGTCCCTGTGCTTAACTAATTAAGCACGATGCCATGAAGGCGTATGGGGAAAAGCATATAAAGATCCACATGTTCTTGACATCGGCACAAGTTTGAGGCTAGTGTCCAGATTCACGCCCCGGCCGCTTTACCCCCGGAGAAAGAATCTCCGGCACCTTTTGGAAAGGAGGTTGGGTGGACCCCAGGGCCGGTCTGGACGACGTGGAGAAGAGAAAATTCTTGACCCTACCGGGACTCGAACTCCGACCCCTCTGTTGTCCAGTCCGTAGCCATTCGCTGTACCATCTACGCTATAATATAAGTATGCTAAATTTGTTTTCTGTCTCCTTGAATTGTGTTTCTCTGATTGAATGATGTAGGCACAGATCAGAAAAAAATAACGGAATTTAATTTACTGTTCTCTTATTAAAAACTACACAACACATGGGCCCTGTAAGAGTTACTTGGTGTAGGTACTCCTGGGACGTACTCTACAAGTCACAGAATTGTTCATTACTTATGAAATGAATTTGCATTACGTAAATTCCGGAAATATTTTCTACCATAATGTAACGACACATCAGAATATATATATAAAACAGATGTAAGGTTATGAGAGAATGACGGTTTAACCGATTTCTACGAATGTGAAGTGTGGCTGATAGGGACGGAATTCAAATATTCGGCGTGAAGTTTATGGGACGCGTTAAAAAGTTGATGTTCATGGAAAATACACGTATATAACACTATTTGTTGGGAGCTTCATAACTTGTACTCTTCTCCAAGTATAATTAGAATGGTCAAGTCAAGGAGTATGAGATTGGCAGAGCATGTAGCACGAATGGGGGAGAAGAGGAATGCATATAGGATATTGGTGGGGAGCCAGAAGTAAAGATACCACTGGGAAGACCAAGACATAGGTGGGTAGACAATATTAGAATGGATCTTAGAGAGATAGGATTGGATTGATCAGGCTAGGGATGTGGACCAGTGGAGAGCTCTTATGAACAAGTTAGTGGACCTTCGGGTTCCATAAAATGCTGGCAAGTTCTTGAATAGCTGCACAACTGGCAGCTTCTTATAAAGAGCTCAGCTCCATGATTGAGATGATTTGTTAAATAGGTCCATTGAACTGAGTCCTTCTTGAGGGGCTAATAGTTGCTCAGCTAATCAAGAAATTCTCAACATTTTACGTGGCCCGAAAGTACATTACCTCTTTCAAAAGGGCCCTTCTTTGCTTAGAGCAGGCAATAGATTATATACTAAAGAAGGAGAATGTATTTAATGAGATTTTTAAAGAGATGAACCGATAAATATGAGTTTGTAGCTAGAAGAGGTGAAGAGACCTAATCCGTGACCCTGCAGAAGAAGAATAGTAAAAAGAGAAGAAGAAATCCAGCGTCGTTAAATAAGCAGTAGAACCACTCAGCTTTGTTACATAAGGCACCAAGCAGTTGTTTCTTTGTCCGAACTGTACTCACATCGTTCATATTTCGCGAGGATAAAAAGACATAGGAATCGTCCATTTCCGTACTTTCCTTCCATATTTCGCCGCTCGTCCACTTTGTCGCTTCCGACGCTACGAAGCGTCACAAGCAATTTATTACTTCCAAGTCACGTGACAAAGTACTCTGGGGCTGGATAAGCCTCGTCCACCTCGATCTAGGTTCGGAGTGTAAAAACCTCGCTGCGACTCGCAAGATAAATTCCTGATGGGATGAAACAACGAACGGATTGAAATCCTACAGCGACACACACTTTGAATCGACCCGTAGTTTAAATTATAATTTGACATCAACCATTCATGAAAAGTTAAACAGTTCCGTCTAGTGTGGCCGGTAAAGATTTCTCTTATTTCAATTACTTAAGCCCTTACATCAGGCATGTCAAACTCAACTTGTACAGAGGGCCACCTCAGCCCTATAAATAATAGTCCAGAGCCGCACTTCAAAATAGAAATATACATTAGATTTTGATACAAGGAAATTTAATTCTATTTATTATTTAGAAATAATTTCAATATAATTACCTAAAGTCACATATTTTACAGTTTTAAAAAGCGAGAGAATGCCATTTTTGACAAGTATCAAACAACTTTTCAATATGTAAAAAGAGAGATTACATAAGAAATTATGTTAGAAATAGCAAAACATTGAATTTCCTGCAGCCTGCTAATTCATGTCTGCGTGAGAATTCTTGTCGTCTGGTCTGTTGGAAAATTGTCTTTACAAAAAATATTTCTACTAAAATTATAATATTGATTTTAATATCAATTAGCTCTAAAAGTTGAGGGGCCGCACATTGTGGCTCAGGGGGCCGCATGTTTGACACGGCTGC